TGTATAATTCTAATGATTAGCCGTATAATTCTAATAATTAGCTGTATGATTCTGTTCAAGCTATAAAAGGAAACAGCTCGGAGTGATTTCATTGCATTGTTGAAAGAGTTTTCTTTTTGTTATAATATTAAATAATCCCTTAGGATTTCTTTTATGTTGTAATCTATTGCAGATAATATTTAGTTGTATTTTAAGTAATTTTGTTGCATTAGTTTGCTTGATTATGAAGGACTGGTAAAGACCGTGTGAACCCATAAACAGGTAAGCAGGTGTAAAACCAGCATGCAATGGGGTAGGACTTTTTTCTTTTTTTAACCAGAGCAGAGAAGAAGGAGCAGGAAGCAGTTTTCCTGCAGTATTAAGAACCTTTCCATTGGGAAATGGGGTTTGAGTTCCTGTCATGTAAAAACACAAAAACTGGTACAGAATGAAGAGTTTGTAAAAAAGATAAGGACTTTTAATTGCTTATTTACTTTATTTAGTGGAGACAGGATGATAAGGAATGAAAATCAACACCAATGTAGTGGCAATTTCTTTCAAATGCAAATTATGTAAAAGGTCCAAAGGCCATTACTGCAACTGGGTTGTTTTTCAACGCAGGCAAAAAAAGTTATGCAGGAAGAAAAACCATCAATGTGAAGAAAACAAAGGAGATGATTGCGGATTTCAAATAGAGCAAACACACATCCCCACCCCCACCCCCCACCCCCGAATATAGGAGGATCTGCAGTGAAAGTGGTCTCCAGCTACAAGAACTTGGGTGTACACCTGAACAACAACCTCATCTGGAGCAACAACACCACCAGCCTGATCAAGAAAGCTCATCAGAGACTCTACTTCCTCAGACGGCTGAGACGAGCTGGTCTGGAAGCTCAGTCCTCACCTCCTTCTACAGGTGTGCAGTGGAGAGCATCCTGTGCTCCAGCATCAACGTGTGGCATGGAGGCTGCACAGCTGCAGAAAGAAAAGCTCTGCAGAGAGTGGTGAAGGCTGCACAGAAGATGTTGGAGTCGGTCTCCCCACCATCACAGACATCTACACCTCCAGATGCAGGAAGAGGACCACCTGCATCATGAAGGACCACACTCACCCAGCACACACACTTTTTGCCCCACTCCCCTCAGGAAGGAGGTTGAGGAGCATTAAGTGTAGAACCACTAGACTGAGGAACAGCTTCTACCCTGAGGCTGTTAGACTCATGAAGCTCTAACTAGAATAATCACTGTGAAAAACCATATCATGTTGCTGCTGATCTGTTTCATGTTGCTGCTGATCTGTTTCATGTTGCTGCTGATCTGTTTCATGTTGCTGCTGATCTGTTCCAAGTTGCTGCTGATCTGTTCCATGTTGCTGCTGATCTGTTTCATGTTGCTGCTGATCTGTTTCATGTTGCTGCTGATCTGTTTCATGTTGCTATGTTCATTGGTCTTCATCTGCTCACACAGACTCATGTTCGTGCTGCTGTTGTTTTGGTGCATTGTTTTTGTACTATTAGAGTTTAGTGTATTTTAGTTCAGTGAATGTAGTATGTAGTATATTCTTACTTCATGACTCAGATCTTACTCATGTTTTTCTTTACAATTTCTATTTTTGTTGGATGTAACTGGGACCCTGTGTACATAGTTTCATTCCACCTTATGTACCACATTCAATTCAATTCAATTCAATTCAATTCAATTCAAAAATACTTTATTAATCCCAGAGGGAAATTATTTGTTGTTGTAACTCGTTATCCTCATTTCTTTAAGAGATGTTATAGATGCTGATGCTGTAGGCAGGAAGGATCTCTTGTAAAGGTCCATCCCACAGTGGATCCTAAGAAACTGGCTGCAGATGCCGTCCGATCCGTCCACCCAGTCTCGGCTGGCCTCTCGGTTCCCCTGGACTGTAGGACCACCCGAATGCTGGGCAGAACTCCTCCCAGAGCGATGGCCACTCCTCCCAGCAGTCTGCCGAGCTCCTCGTCACTGCGGACAGCCAACTGTAGGTGCCGAGGGACGATCCCGTCCTTCCGCTGTCATGAGCCAAGTTTCCTGCTAGTTCCAGGATCTCAGTGGTCAGGCACTCGAGCACAGCTGGCAGGTAGATGGGAATGCATCCACAGAACATCCTTTCAACTCATTTGAGATTTGGGGCTGTAGTTGAAATATTATTTGAGCTTTTGAGATGTTAATCAGCTGTTGGTTGTAGAAAACTGCCTTGTTGCCATGGTTACGCATCATAACAAATGTCCAAAACTCAAAAAAGTTTCAGTAAAAATCCTTCCAGCTGCACAGCATCTGATACCAGAGGAAACAAGCATCCATTATCTTTACCCACTTATTCCATTTTGGGTCACGGGGGTCGCCGGTGCCCATGTCCAGCAATCACTGTGCGAGGGGCGGGGGACACCCTGGACAGGTCTTCAGTCCATCACAGGGACACATAGAGACAAATGAGACAAACAACGATTCACTCTCTCACTCACACCTAGGGACAATTTAGAGTTACCAATCAGCCTAACATGCATGTTTTTGGTCTGTGGGAGGAAACTGGAGTACCCGGAAAAAACCCACGCATGCACGGAGAGAACATGCAAACTCCACCCAGAAAGGCCCCTGGACCGGGATTTAAACCAAGGACCTGCTCGCTGAGAGGCAGCAGCTCT